TCTTCTAGACACTGCTGTCCCTGCTTTGCCCGACAACCTGTCCTGCTGGAGTTGTCTAGGCCCAGTCACCAGTTCCTTAGTTGCTAGGCAACCCCACAGTGCTGACTGATTTTGCAAGATCTCGGTAACGTTGCTAGGCAACCCCACAGTGCTGACTGATTTTGCAAGATCTCAGTAACAGGAGTCACTGTGAGAGGGGAGGGGGATTTTAATCTCTCCCCATACTACTTTCTTGATGTTTGGGATTTTTCTGCAGATTTTGAGTGTAGAAAAATCCCTCCCTGTCTGTACGTAGCCGCACTTAGCGGATTTTTAAAATCTGCATTCTGAGGCTGTGTTCAGAACTAGAGACAGGAAACCTGTTTAATGGGTTGGGGGGCACAAAGGTAAGGGGTTGTGTACAAGAACATACATGTTGTTTCCTTGTGCTTAGCACCCCTTCCTGAATGATGGTTTGGATAAAAAAAGAAATGATCTTGTCTGAAGCAATCACCACCTGGTTTTAATGATGACAGTTTTTGGTTTTATGAGGGCTAGATTAAACTCTGGCTAAAACAGATAAGCCTTGAAGCACCTTGTGAGGGAATAGCTGTACAAAGTACATCACACTCAAGGATAGGGTTCCCTGCCCCCACAAATAGCTTTACCATAGAGTTTCTGGTGATTCCCAGAGAGGCATGATGTCACTGCTTGGTTTTCTCCTAAGGTGACATCACACGTCCACAGTCTTTCATTGGTTGCCTGCCTGGGCCTGGCAACCCCACTTAAGGAAAGGGGTGCCAACTCTGGCTTGGGAAATTCCTACGGATTTGGGGACAGCGTCTGGGAATGACGGAATTTAGATGAGAATTCAGGGAGGACATGGAAGCACAGTATCTACCTTTCACGGCTGCCATTTTGTCCATGGGAACTGCAGTCCGGAGATCGCTTATAATTCTGGGAGAACACCAGACCGCACCTGGAGCTAAACATCACTCTTCCTTTACAACAAACGAAACACTTCCCGCCCTCCCCTAGAGTCCTGTGCTACCTCGTCCAAGTATGCCTAATTTCCTTCCTTCATCCCTACTTTGCAGAACACTTCCTTCCTGTGTGATGCTCAGTGTATTCTATAATTAATCTGTATAACAAGAAAACCATGGTAAATGACATATAATCAAATGCTGAATATACATTAGCATCTTTTCAGGCATATCGAATGATTACACATGATTTTTGTTGTTGTTGTTCAGTCGCACAGTCGAGTCCGACTCTTTGCGACCCCATGGACAAGATCACGCCAGGCCCTCCTGCCTTCCGCCGTCCTCTGAAGTTTGCTCAGTTTCATGTTCGTTGCATCGATGACACTGTCTAACCATCTCATCCGTTGCCGTCCCCGTCTTCTTTGACCTTCAATCTTTCCCAGCATCAGGGTCTTCTCCAGGGAGTGCTCCCTTCTCATTGGGTGGCCAAAGTATTTGAGCTTCAGTTGCATCGTATTATTACAGCAGGGCCATGGTCCAAGTTGTGTGCAGTTCACGCTGCTGGAGTCACCTAGCGCTGATTCTTTTCCTACTTGGGTGGGAACTGTGGACGGCATTTTGCTCAGCTGGCAGAAGCTCTCTCACGCCAATATGTCATACTCTGTTTTATCAGTATTATAGCAGTACTTATATGTAAAAGTATCACTTGTTGCTAATATGTATGACATGGGCCACCACAGGAATGTGTAGTTTTTCCTTGGGGGTACAAGATTAGGCATTTAAGTCATAGAGGCTAAGAAGCTGAGCTGCAGACTGGAAGGTCTGTAGTTTGACAGTTCGAGACCTGAGTGCCGCGTGATGTAGTGAGCCGCTGTCTCTGGCCCCAACTCCTGCCAACCTTGCAGTTCGAAAACAAGAAATTGCAAGTAGATAAATAGGTACTGATTTGGTGGGAAGGTAATAGCGTTCCGTGTGCCTCGGTGTTTAATCATGCCAGCTACATGACCATGAAAAAGTCCTCGGACAGCGCTGGCTCTTTGGCTTGGAAACGGAGATGAGCACTGCCCCCTAGAGTCAGATTCGACTGCCTTTCGAGCAAGGGAAAACTTTACCTTATGTTGATGGGACAGGCAGAGCATCAAAGTGAGCCAATGAGAGCAGTGACAGAGAAAGACTATGCCCAGAGTTCTGTTTTGAGGGTTGAGAGTTATAGATTGGAAGCTGTGTGTGAAGGGAAGGGTTACTTTAGCAGGAGTGTGAATTAAAGAACTATGGAGACATCAGATTCCTTGCCTGACAATACTGAGGTGTTTTAGTGTTGCTAGCCCCCCCCCACACTCCTGTAGAGGTGACGTCCCCGCTGGCAGGGGGACATACCAGGAGAAAGGAGAAGACCTAGGCCTCATTGCCAGCATCATACAGGAAGGGGCGTCATTATGTCCAGGTGACATTCTGGTATTTGGGCAAAATCTCTATGGTAGAAGCTGGTTTTACCGTAGAGTTCTTTCCCACACGCCAGAGTGTCACCTGGACATAGCTGGTGTGATGACATCACTTCCTGTGTGACACTGGAAACAAGGCCTAGGCCTTTTTCCTTGTAAGTCCCACCATCCCCCATAGGTTGCCAGGAAGGACCTGGCAACCTTAAGGTGTTCACAAGTAGGGTTGTCAGCTCAACACAGGCAACCAGAGGGAGCCTTTGGGGGGCAAGGAGGAATGCGACTCGATGACATAAGGCATCATGTTACTTCGGATCTGAGATCACATCATGAAGCCTCACATCGCGTGAAGTTGCTCCCCATCCCCACCCCCACCCTTTGCTCCCACTGGAGTGGAGAGGCCCAGAAGGGCCTGGAGCTTGGTGGCGGGAGCTTAGGGACAGCTTGGTGTAGGGGTTATGAGCGCGGATTCTAATGTGAGAGAACCGGGTTTGATTCTCCACTGCTCCACATGCAGTTGCTGGTGTGACCTTGGGTCAGTCGCAGTTCTCTCAGAGCTGTTCTTTCAAGGGCAGTTCTCTCAGGGATCTCTCAGCCCCGCCTACCTCACCAGGTGTCTGTTGTGGGGAAGGGAAGGGAAAGGAGCAGAGGTCATTTCGGGGGGATCACGGGGGATTGCAGTTCCCCCGGGTGAGGTACGGGGGGCAGGGCACATGACGAAGCCCCGCCCCCCGCTTCCGGCCCCCCCGCTTCCGGCCCTCCTTCAGCCAGGAGGAGGCAGGAGCAGAGGGAGGGTAAGTTGCTTCCTCCCTGCCTCTCCCCACCCCTGCCTGCCTGGGGCCAGGGAGGGCCTTTGCGGGGCTTCCTTGCACTCCTGCCGGCCTTGCAGGTCCACCGCCGGGCCCCTCATGGGGCTCAGCAGTGGAGCTGCAAGGCCGCCGGCGGCGGCCGGGACCGTTGGAGGCGGGGTGTGTGGCCTTATGACACACTTCCGGTGATGTCAGGGGCTGTGGCCTTATGACACACTTTCGGTGATGTCAGGGGGTGTGGCATATGCTAATGAGTTATGCTAATGAGTTCCCCTAGCTCTTTTTCTACGAAACAACCCCTGGAAAGGAGATTGTAAGCCACTCTGAGACACCTTCGGGTAGTGTAAATCCAGTTAGTATAAATCCAGTCTCTTCCTTCTCCGCCGCCTCCTCTTCCCCAACAGGATGGCAACCCTGTTTAAAGGAGGCCAGCAGCACTTGATGCGTGTAACCAAGGTGTAGCAGAGTGCTTTGTTATGTTATAAACCTGTCTGAGAAAAGATGTTTCCTTAGGCAATGTACTCTGAAGCCCTCAGTTTTGTGTTTCTTGTTCACTTTTAAAAGCAGGCCACCTCCTTATTGTCGGTTTACCTCTTTTATCCCTCAGTTATCAATCTAAGCCTGGGTGGGTTTATCCCCGGGCCCAGATCTCACCCCCTCAAAGTTTTTCAAAATCCCTGCTAGGAGTCCTGGTGTGTGCAGGGTGGGCAGGAAATTGTGTGATGGTAGAAAAATCCTGTGGGTGGTGTAAATCCTCCAGGAAATTGGTCACAGTCATGTGGTTCAAAGATCTTCTGGGGGTAAATTTATACATTTAAGGTACATATAAGGCTTTAGAGGCCCGAGTGACCTCTCGCCATTAGACCTGAGGAACATTTCAGTTCAGAGCCGTGCCAGAGAAACTGAAGTGTGTATTCTTCTGTGCCATACTAAAAAGCTCAGAAATTGATTCCCCCCCCCCCGAGAGAAACGAGCTTGCTCCTTAGAATTGCTCCATCTCCCTGGTAAATCTGTGTAGCGAGATTTTTAAAAAATGCTGGTAGCTAATGAATGCCATGTGATGTGCTGTGTACTGCCTTATAGTCCCGTGTACATGGTGTGTGCCCAATAAAGTATTTCCACTGTTAAACTGGTGCTCCCCCCTCCCCATATGCATGCGCTCCTTGTAAAGTGACAGAGACGCTTGGATGAGGTGGGTCAGGCAGTGCATCCAGGTTTATTCCTTGGACCATAAAATAGCCAAGAGAGCAAAGGAACCTCCAAGAAATCAAGGGGGGGGAGAGAGTTAAATTTGGAAACACTTGCTTTTTCATACAGCAGTTGGTGTGCCCCAGCCTCCGAATCCCAGAGCCAGAAGACAACATCGGGGGAAGGCCTCAGCCTCCATGCCCTGTTGTTGGCCGTCCAGATGAACTGGTTGGCCATTGTGTGAGACCGGATGCTGGTCTAGATGGACCGTTGGTCTGATGCAGCAGGTCTCTTCTTATGCTCTGTGTGTATGCAGGTGTGCCACTAAAAAGTTTTGAGGGGTAGTAATTTTGGTTGACTTTAACAAGGCTTGTGTACCCAATAAAAGGGGCTTCTGCGAACTTGAATGGTGCTAACCCATCTGCTGGCTTTCCAGTACTACAGTAAGACCTACATGACAGTGCAAGCGTTGTTCTTTCTCCCTATTTCTTTGTTCCTTGTTCATCAGATCGTCTGCTGGGCTAACAGTTGTTGAAATGCCTCCCGTATGTTTTTTGTCCTCCTTCTCACGGTTCTTTGTTGTTTGTTTCTTTACACTGTAGGTGCTGAAGAGCCGTAGATGCCATTTTGAAGAAACCTTGAAGGCGCAAATGGCTTTAGCTGGCTGCCCAGACTCCTTCTTGCACCATCCTTACCGGATAGTAAGTGGTGACCAAATATTTTTTTAAACCATGTGTCATTTTTGCTACGGTCGTAGGGTTGGATCTGTTCACTTGGAGGAGTCCTTGGTTGCTAATCTGGGCAGTGCGTTAGAGTTTCCACAAATGGAGTTAATGCACAGAGTTAATAATACTTCATAGTTGATGCTGGTTGTTCCTCTGTCGTTCCTATAGTTTCCAGTGTAAATGTAGGTTAGATGTGTGTGAAGCTCATAACAGATTAAAAGTCTGAGCTGTGAACCAAAAAATCCTTAGTTCCTGTCATAAGGAGGGGTTTCACTAGGTGACATCCAGTTATTCAGGATGGCAATTCCAGAGGTGTAGCCATGTTAAGTTATTGTGGCCCAAATAAACAGAAATCTTCTGACACCTTAAAACCTGGTGGAATTTTATTCCAGTACAAGCTTTTGTGGGCTAGAGCTTGCTTGTTCCAATCCTCTGAATTCAAATCCAGAAAAATATAGAGACTTTAACTAGTTAAACTAGTTAACACCTAAAATGGTTGAGGGACTCCCAGGGTTTACCAAGGTATTTAATCTTTATAGCTGAGATGGTCCCAGTCCAACCCAGGGAGTGAGATAGTGTGAAACCTCTTAATGAATTCCAATTGAGTAGCTTCACACTGGAGTAGCCCTTTGAAGTTGTTTTGTTGAAGGATGGTGATTGTGAAGTATGCAGCAAACGATCTTGGGAGATTGAAATTTTCTCTCACTGAATGCACGAAGCTGCTTTATACTGAACCAGATCCTTGGTCCGCCAAGGTCCGTATTGTCTACCCAGAGTATTGCCTACTCAGCGGTTCTCCAGGTTCTCAGGCAGAGGTCTTTCTCATCACCTACTGCCTGATCCTTTTAGATGGAGATGCCAGGGATTGAACTAGGGACCTTCTGCATGCCAAGCAGATGCTCTACCAATGAACTCTGGCTCCTCCTCTCCCTGTCTCTGAATATCATTATTTTTAATGTCTGATGTATTGGCTTAGACTGACCCATTCGTCCCGTGTAGAGAGCAGAAGGGTGTTGACATATGATGGCAGCATATATCATATTAGATGATGAGCTAGTGACTGAGTCTAAGATGGTATTGCTGATGTTCTTGGGTCCTATGATAACTACTATGCTTACCTGAAAAGAAGATGGCCGTGAATATGACAATTCCCCTCCCCTCAAACAAAAATCAAAAAAGCTTCAAAGGGTATTGTTAATGTACAAAAAACATTGTATGCAAATTTAAGATGCCCCCTCCCTTCTTTACTTTTTGGGACATGTGGAGGAAAGTATGCTTTCAGGGAAATAGGGTAATACAAGAGGGGGACCCGCGATACTCGCGGGGGGGGGAGAAGAGCTCCCGCCCAGCTCCGAGGCGGAGGCGGCAGCGGAGAGGCCAGTCCTTTCCCCCCCCTTTGCTGGGCTCGGCGGCGGCGAGGCCGGTCCTCCCCGCCCGCCCGCCCTTCTCCGAGGAGGAGGCGGCTGCGCGGCGGCGAAGCCAGCTATAGAGTGTTCCCTGCGCATGCGCAGGGGACACTCTGTCACTTTCGGGGGGATTTAAACATCCCCCCGAATTTTTTTTCAACTTTTAGCATTTTTGTGCACACGTGGGGACTGCCCCACGTGTGCACACACCTCTCCCTGCCCCCCAGCTGCCCCCGGAGCGCGGATTTAGATATCCGCACTCACGGGGGCAACTTCGCTATTAGTATAAGGATTGCCTAGATGTATACGTGGACGTAGTTGGCATCCTGGTTAGCTGCAGGACATACATGTAGAAATATGAAGCTACTTTATACTGAATCAGGCCATTGGCTCATTAAGACCACTATTGTCTGCTCAGACTGGCAGTGGGTCTCCAGGTCTCAGGGCCAGGTCTGTCACATCACCTACCGCCTTTCAGCTGGCGATGCCAGGAATTGAGACTGGGATTTTCTGCATGCAAAGCCAATGCATGTTTCTGTTAGCTGGCCCTTCTTTTCAGTTAAGGTTGTTAGTCTTTGAAGTCCTTGATTTTGTTGTTTGATTTTTGAATAAGTAGTTGTCTCTCAACCCCAGCCTGTGACTTGAGGCTGGTTGGACAGTCCTTTTTTTGCAGGGCTGTTCTAAAGGTGATCGAGGTGGTTGCATGGAGTCATTTGCACCGGGATTTGCTCTTAGTTGTCTTGTGTTGACCTTTTGCAACCTTCTTGGTGTGCCATGTGCTCTCAAATGAGAGCCCATTTCACGCCTACACAGTTTATGACCTAGTAAGCCAGTTTTTTGAGACCTCCTCTTCTAGCTGAAACAGTAAAAACAGGAGTTGGCCAAGGGGGGCAAGGGGACGTGTTTCCAAACCAAAGCAGATAAGCGGCCTCAAAGTCATGCCCTGCATTTACATCTCCCCCCCTTCTTACCATCTCTCATGTGTGTAAACATCCAGTATTAGAGAGTTCTGAAGAACTCAAAAGCTTGTACACTATATTTTGTGTCATAATTGGTTGACTTTAATAAAGGGTACGTGGAACCAGTGTGGTGTAGTGGCTAGAGCATTGGACGAGGATCGGGGAGACTCTGTTTGGCATGCAGAAGGTCCCAGGTTAAATCCCCGGCACCTTCAGCTAAAAGGACCAGGCAGTTGGTGATGTGAGAGACCTCTGCCTGAGAACCTGGAGAGCCGCTGCCAGCCTGAGTAGACAACACTGACTGTGATGGACCAATGGTGTGATCTCTCCTTATATATAATTGAATAGTGGGTGCCAAAGTTCTAAAATGCACTCCTTTAGTGTATGGACGCTTGAACTGTCAGTCAGAAGACGCTGGCTGGGTTGACTGGCTGCTTTGTGCAGTCCCGCCCAGCATTTCAAGGTCTTTTGCATATGGAAGCTGATTGGACTTCGCTGCATTCCACACCTCAAACTCACCCCCCTCCCCGCAAGGCAGTTGGAATGTCAGTTGCACATGGAACCTTCAAGGTCTTTTGCATATGGAAGCTGGACTTCACTCCATTCCACACCTCATA